AATTTTGATATGCAATTAATCGGGTTTTTTTTAAAACGTATAGGTTGTCAGATTGTATACTGTTATTGTCATAATTCAAGCTACATGTAGATCACAGTGGCCGTCACATACTAGTCTCGGCCAGACAAGCCACAGACTGTCGCAGGAACGAACGGAAACCAGAGCAAGGGTAGCGACACTAAGCGGAGGATCCGGGGACCAGTCTAGACAAACCAGTGGTCGATATCACAGCATCGTCCCACACCGGGGGTTTCATGAACAAGTCCCGACTTACGCCAGGTTTACCTTACGCAAGTTAACCCACTGAGATACCATGCTCAGACGCACTACACCAAACACCACTGACACGTTATGTGGCGCCTCGTCACCGGTCCTTGTTTTTAGCCCCTAAATGCCGATCGCCTGGCGGGCAAAAAGAAATACCATCTTGTAACATATGGGTATGACGCGGCCTGGGGACATAAGAGTAAGGCTTAAGATATGCATATCATATAACAATGCAATGAAATGTCAGGGACTTCAGTTAAAATGTCCATTAGTCGAGTTACACAGAGAAACACGACAACGTCTGCAATTCCTAGCTCATACACTTTATGTTGGAATATTATAAACGATGTTATTCGGCTGAAATATCAATATAAGTGGAGCTACTAACATATTTTGTCAATTTAATAATGAACAAATTCATAAACACAGCGGGAGACGTGATTATCGACGACACATGCGCTCCGTACGCCCAAAACGTGCTCCTGGCGACCTGACCCGATTATCCAGCTGTTTGTCTGCATATAACGAACAACGGGTTTCTGCTCTTATCAGCATGTATGGATTTACACGTGACGTCAAACTGAACATCTGTTTGATCAGCTGTTATTAAAATCTCCTGATGTAAAAGATTTCAATATTTCAATACTTTACATGAACTAACACATGTTTGAGTTTTTTTCTCAAACACATCCTGCGTCAGCATTATGTTGATCTCAATCACGTGGGGGAAGTTACAATAAATGGTTACATAAAGAAATATTAAAGGGGTATATTTGTACCTTCCAGCAACATGCAATAGTGCCAACTGCTCGTCGCACAGGACTTGAATTGTCTGAATGACAATGCCAACATTATTCAATATAAATGGAATCTATATAATGTCACTGCCTGAACAAGTTCGTAAACAAGTAAATATACATCAGACTGAAATAAAATATATCTATATATGTAGTGGACCCGCGAAGATCCGGGGTAGAATAGGTCTTCAGCAACCAATGCTTGCCGTAAAAGGCGACTATGCTTGTCGTAAGAGGCGACTAACGGGATCGGGTGGTCAGGCTCGCTGACTTGGTTTGATGCATGCCATCGTATTCCAATTGCGTGGATCGATGATCATGATGTCAATTACTGGATTGTCTGGTCCAGACTCGATTATTTACAGACCGCCGTCATATAGCTGGAATATTGCTGAGTGCAGCGTTAAACAACAAACCAACGAACCATATATGTAGTGACCATAAACCATATCGGTCACTGGAAATGTGTATCTGAAAGGAGAAACAAGACCTCAAGCCTGTAGCCCTCAGCTTCCGGGGCAAATCTTTAACAAAATTAGTGTCCCTTTTAATTTGTCAGTACAGTAGTTCAGAGACTATATACGGTATGTGCTCTCCGAATAGTTTTAAAAATTGTCATCAGGTTTTAACATAACATTACAATACAGTCCTCTTTCCAAAGTTGACTCTGCCAAACATTCATAAATGGCCAAGTGACTGGACAAATATAACATGTTTCAAAATAGGATCTGTCGGGGAGAAAAGGGGACCATGTTAGGCCTGGTTCTGGTAATGAATGCCATTTGTAGAACTGAAACTCTCGGTAATTAGGAAAACTACTAATATCTGAGATGGCAAACAAACATAGTTGTCTGACATGCCTTGCAGCGAGGTTGCAAGGTCTGCCAATTGTCTGGAGCCCAGCCCGCCTTTAGATCAATTGCACTTTTAGACACCACAGCAGGTGCCACCTATAGTTCATAGTCTCTGCTTATTAAGCAGCTGTTCCTAAGTAAAAGACTGGATAACTCACCATCACGTTAAAGTTTACAAACATACTGATCACAAGAAGTTAGGGATTATGAATATTTTTGGGGATATTTTTTATGAAATTGTATTCAGTCTTCACTAGAAAAAAATATCCCCCAAAATATTCATGATCCTTTACTTTTTTTGCTCAGTGTAGATGCTGAATGTATCTCAAATTGAGAAATTGTAAATGATAGAATAGCACAATTTGGGCGAAAAAGACAGTGAAACTTTCAAAGTGTTTTGTTTATGGTAGACACATGGAGTGTATTCCAAATCTGACACATCAGTGACCTAAATCATGTCCGATGCAGTTCCCTAGTTTGAATTGAACCACATGTTCCTGTACTTGTACCACATGTTCCTGTGCTATGTTCAGGTGATTTGTCTTGATTGGCATGTCTGCCACCGGTGGGGCAGAACTCGCTCACCTCTTCGCGGACACCTTGTATCATCACGATTAAATAGTTATTCATAAACACACGCTTATGATATAGTCGGAATCGTACAATGAACTCTGCTTTTAGCAGACATTTCTTGTGGAAAGTGTTCGGTCACTTGTATTTTTCAATAGGACAATCGAATATTTAAATTTGGATTGGAAATCTGTGGAATTTCAACATAGTTGCATAAAATGTTTAGCAAGTTTTCAGCTTGCACGTCTGGTGATTTCTTTTTTATGTAAATGTCAAGGTTTCGAATTGACAGGCAATGGATTCACACTATCACATGAATCTCATTTTAGGTGAACTAATCTTTTACAACAAAAATGATCCAGCGGAACGGGCAAATATTAATGACCATCATAAAGCTCAAATTAACTGACTCGTCTTTTTTCAATCGTCTTCAGTATATTACATTTGCAAGTTACTCTTTATAAAAACAATTGCATCAAAACCGTTGCAAGTAACTTCGTCATCAGTGGCAGCAAGGAGCATCAATACATTCATCTGCATCGGTCCGACAGTTTCACAGACAAACGTACCTGTAACTAACAGGTGTTACGTGGCAGTAGAGATTGTTGTAATTTATTTGTACTGATTGTCAGTGCCAGCATATGACTTAAACGCTCACAAAATGTCGAGAGCTGGTGTAGCCAGATTATAACATGAAGTGTCAGTTACCTCCCCTGGTAGTTTACAAACATAACAGATTTGATCGTTGGAGAAGTTTCAGGATGGGACAGTTTCTTGAAGGCTGACTATCTATATAAGAGGAACACGGGGACGATTTGGGGACATTTACTTGACTTGCATTTATAAACTCAAGTGCGGACCTGATACATATCTGAAAACACTGAATTCCTACCAGCTTCCTACACTATTCTGAATAGTACAGACAGAGATAGGCCTGCAAGAAGACATCCGACAGTGATTTAAATCTAGACATTCATGAGTAAACTAACGTATGGTAGAGTTTGTTACTTATTGTTGCGGTCACCTACCTGACCATTGTATTGTTTTCATATAAAAACCTAAAACTGTGTTCCAATATAATTTATTCATTGATTTTGTGTAATTACTTAGCGATTTCACAATATAGTTTTGTACCTCCTGATTTCTGGGTAAACCTTCGCGTTTCAATGTCGAAGTCACCTTGTAACACAGGTTACAATATAAGGTACATATACTTTACATGAAAACGTATTGCCCTGTGGCACCATAGGTTAAAATGGTTCCCCCCATCAAACAGCTGGACATTAGGCAGTGTGGAGTTAAACAATAAACTTTCTTACTCACGTGGACAAGAAGTACACAGAGAATTTATTTTCACATGGATTAATACTCTGGGATCAAAACTGCAAGATATTGTTATTCCAAGCATATTAACTAAAGACAATGGCCCAGGGTGCATGTCTCTGGATTGTTAGGTGTTGCCGCTGTGCCTTACTGTGGCTGCTTGTAGGGATATCTCATGCAGTGTGTTACTTAAGAATCTCGTCACAAGTCTGGGCCTAATAACAGGTTGCAACATGCACGTTTCAAAACGTCACCCATGACACAATATACTGACAATGTCCACATGAAGCTGGTCAGTGTATGATTATCTTGTGCATACATGTTCAAACAATTATTTTTCAGGGTCTGAGTACACAGAAATGTGTTTAACACTGACCAAGATTGTTGTCTCTTTTTATGAGGCCACTGGAAAAAATACCCCTTCAAATTTACTATTAAACTAAAGTAAATGTCATATAACAAATATTAGAAAAATCAAGTTATGTTGAATTCTAAATGTTACGCTCTGAATTTAATATATGAATGCATATTCAAGGTTCATACAGATATCGGACACTAAAATAGTGAGTGAGTGAGTTAAAATTTAACGTCTCATTGGCAATATTTCAGCCATATCGTGACGAGAACACAAAAATAAAATTCAAGGCTGTTGATACTTTATTAAATACAGCATACTATATCTTAGTCGTAAGACCTAAAAAGCTGTATGACCATCACACATTTTCAACAAGATTTATATTTAACCCAACCGAAACATATATTAAGTCTGTCATGAATACTTCAGGGTCTCATGTACACAAATCTATCATTGTGATAAATCTCACTTAAACATCTTTGGCACGTATTTGTGTGTGCTTTAATATTTTGATTAACAAGTATATGTCAATTTGTACAAATTCAAGGCTTTTCAAGCTAACTTGGTGATCTTCAAGGCTTTTCAAGGTTGACACTAAAACTCAAGGCTTTTTAAGCCTATATGAACCCTGAAGAAATATGACATTGCTATGTTCAATGGTAAAGAAGAAGAGTTTTTAAGTTCAGTACAAATGGATGGTTGGATAGATGGATGGATGAATGGATGGAGGGATGGATGGATGAATGATTGAAAGAAACAAACAACACATGAGACCCATGCCTTAAGCTCACTTTGACAATGTCAAGTCTAAACAAAAAATAAACACACAAAATATAATTTCGAAACATACAGAACATTTTTATTCTGTCAAACTTTAGACATAATTTCAGTTCAAAACATACAGATATTATTCTGTCAAAATTGAATGATGTTAATGTGGATTCCATGCCCAAGAGATAGTTTTATCCAGCTGATGTACACAACAAAGCTGTAAGCTGAAACAGTGACCATGATGAATGAGTGAGTGAGTATGGTTTTATGCCTCTTTTTGCAATATTCCAGCAATATCACAGCAGGGGACACCAGAAATGGGCTTCACACATTGTACCCATGTCGGGAATCGAACCTGGGTTTTTGACGTGACAAGCAAATGCTTTAACAACTAGGCTACCCGACCGCCCCGTGATCATGATGATGATGAAAGTATTAAATGGCACAGGATTATGTTGGCCCGGTCGCATAGCCTATTTACAATTAAGGTTCAGTTAATCAGAAGCATGGTTCTAATAGTAAGACAGGTGACCTCAATGATACGCAGTGAATACACATGCTACAGAAACTGACATGTTCTTTAAGAGATCACTGCCAAGTAGTGGCATACCTGTAGATTGTAACAGTCAATCAAACAAAGCATTGACCTTTTTAAATTGACTTGGTCTAAGACTTAAAGTGTTTCCATGGGCAAATAGAAACTATTCAATGTAACTAGCACTAAAGAACAATCTCACACAACTGTACTGTTCTGTTTGATCGAATTAGTACACGAGTAGAGAAAACATCAGTCTGCAGACACCCTGACCAGAAGCGGTCCTGGTCCTGTTTTCCTTACAACACATCAGAATCTCTCCTCATCTTCTTTAGAGCAGATCCTCAGAAGTCCTAATCACAACAGATCTGCAAGATGTCCATTGTTAGAAATGATATTTTCATGACAACAAATCAGTAGAAGTCTTCCTCATCTTCTTCCTTCTTCCCTCCCTTCTGTTGGTTCTGAATCTGATGCTGGTTCTTGTACATCTCGGCCACCTGAACAAACAAACATAAAGGTTGGAAACGCTGCATGCTTGCATGCAAAGAGTCATCCATGTTGGTGCATTTACTTAGTGAGTGTGTATGGTCTTTCACTGCTTTTTTTTAATCAAAATTCCAGCAATATCACTGCGGGGGACATCAGAAATGGGCTCCACACATTGAGTCCATTGGGGGAATGAACCCTGGTCTTTGGCATGACGGACTAATGCTTTAACCACTAGGCTACCCCAGGGCCCCTTTACTTCCTGAACATGATATGGTCTACTACCTAACTTACAGGTGACTAACAGTGAAACCTTGACCCTTAAACATCATTCCACTTCTATCATTATGAGAGTTTTGAGTCAATGCATCAGTGTTTGGATGGTAATAAGTATATTGTTATCTTGGAACATCCATCCCACCTTGTGTTGTGTTGTGTTGTGTTTTTTTGTTTATTTGAATGTTTGTTGTTTAACGCCGCACTCAGCAATATTCCAGCTATATGATGGCACTCTGAAATGTAAATAATCGAGTCTGGACCAGACAATCCAGTGACTGATATCATGAACATCAATCTATGCCATTGGGATATGACGACATGCATCAACCAAATCAGTGAGCCTGACCACCCGATATTCGCCTCTTACGACAAGCAAAGGCACCATTTAAAGCAAGCATTGGTTGCTTAATACCTATTCTAGTGTGTGTGTGTGTGTGTGTGTGTGTGTGTGTGTGTGTGTGTGTGTGTGTGTGTAAACTCTATGCACCCTCTAAGCATTCACCTGATGAAGGAGCAAGGTGTGGCTCTGAATCGTCGTGAATAAGAACAAATGAAGTTGTTATCCATAAAAAGTGTCATGCATTCAGGTCATAAGTTATTGTGGACATTTTGCACACATTTTCACTCCACACACAAACTATCTGTAAGTGGTGCTGATTTCACAAACTATAAATCACTCAACAAACACTGTAATGGCTGAGAAATTCCAGAATGGAAAAGTGTCAACTCAGCACAAAATGCTCCTATTGATTGCCCCATGAGCCAGATGTTGGTTTCACCTCACACTCTCGTCAATAGAGACATTCAGGGCACTCTGAATCAATCCAAGTATATAACACAATTAACTTGTAAAACAAACAAACGGTGTGTCTTGTTCCAACATGGCTACACTCAAACTGAACCTCAGCGATATTTTAGAAAATGAAGCATCGGGCTTATTGGAGTTGGGTGCTTATTAAGTTGAAGAATGTGTGCTGTAAATGCACCAAATCATCTGCTATAATTTGTTCACAGGAAGAATGCAATGTGGTCTTCATGTGAGATTTCAACATTATTTGACTAACACAAGTGAAAAAAACTTGTGTGGGGACCAGTCATCTAAACTTTGGGATTGGGCCAGACCGGGATTACATAATAAAAATAATAATGTGCCTTTAGAAAACTTATAAAGAAAATATAATATTGCCAGATTAGTAGTGTATTCTATACAAACATAAGTTTACACTTTCAGGCTTGAAAGTAGATTGTATTGACACTTTGACTAGAACAATACCAATACGTCTGAATGCACATCCCAAGAATCGCCAACCCCGACTCCTATAAATGGTAATTTGCTAAGAACTAAACATCACTTGTGAATATCAACTGCCCAAATGCAATTAGTTCAAGAAATTGTCTTGAGGTTGAACAAATGAAAACAATGTTTGTTTGTTTGTTTGTTTGTTTTGTGTATTGACACACAGCTACATTGACACTATGGACTTAGATACCTCTATAACATGCAGTGTCACACTGTTCAGCGAAAAATACTGAGCTACACATTATTTTTACCTGAATGACAAAAATATTGGTTAACAAAAAGTCTGTAAACCTAAAGTATGACGTAACTTTTACATAACAGAAATTCTGTATATGTTAATTACATATGAACAAACAGTTCCTTAATCAGCTATTGTGAGTCAGCCATGTCAGTCACGTTGACCATGGCAAAAATCAAATCAGAATTCAATAGGCTTTTCATTTCAGTTTCATTAACTTAGTGGAACAGGAGTATTCTATATATACTGTGTAAAACAAGATCTATGGGCATTCACAAAGTCTAGTGCAGGGATTTTGCCAGGAATTTGCACCAGAGAGGAGATCTCCTATGTTTGATTTACTAGAAAGGGGGAGTTCCATTCCACTAGTGGGTGTTCCAACACTATCATCACCACTTCCTGGTCACGTCATGTCAATATTATCATGATCTTCCATAGTTCCCTCAAATGCATCATATGTTCCAAAATAATCAGCTGTTCTGTGTTGAAGGCTTTGGATGGATACCAGTCTACTGTGTCCCCCTTTGACTAACGGAAAACTACATCATCTTCAGTCATGTACAAACATTACATTTCTAATTTGGAATATTTGTCTTAGCAGTAAAAATAATACAGTCATGAGTAGATTAAGATGGCAATGCTTACTGCTGACAGACAATATTTTGCAAATAGTATACTAAAAGGTTCCCATAATAAAAAAGACTAGCGATGCATTGTGAAATTCCAAATGTGTGTGTGATTATTTTTCTGCACAATCTTTCACGCACAGCTTGTTTCTGAATGTAAGATTACAATTAAATTAGCATGATTACAATTAAATTAGCATGATTACTTAAATTAGCATGATTACAATTAAATTAGCATGATAACAATTAAAAATAATTAGCTTGATTACAATTAAATTAGCATGATAATCAAATTAGCGTGATTACAATTAAATTAACATGATAACCATTAAATTAGCATGGTAACAGTTAAATTAGCGTGATTACAATTAAAAAAGCGTGCATTCCACAATTGCTTGTCCTGGCAAAATCACTGCTAAGGTCATAGGTCAAAGCAAAGCTCATACATACTCAACATTAGAACACAGAACAAACGTGGTTGTCCTCAACCCATAAACTCTGTACATCAAATTTCACTGACATATTGTTAGTGAGTGAGTGAGGTTTTACGCCGATTTTAGCAATATTCCAGCAATATCACGGCGGAGGACACCAGAAATGGGCTTCACACATTGTACCCATGTCGGGAATCGAACCCGGGTCTTCGGCGTGAAAAGCGAACGCTTTAACCACTAGGCTACCCTATCGCTCCTGACATATTGTTAAGTAGGCAAGTAGTTGAGAGAAGGTTGATAATGACATAAATGTTTAGGTATGCCATTGCTGGGGTCACATATAATAAATACATTTTCCGGTGAGCAAAACGACTTTACTTTGCACCTTTTACTCAATTAAATCATAACCTATCTTCCATGTACCTTTACTAAAGAGATAAAGTGTCAGATGGCTCTGATTAATGCTGACATCATAAGAGGTTGATTTATTGCTGTTTTGAACATAAAAATGGGAGTCCACATGATCCTTTATATTTAGATAATGTTAAAAGATAAAATCATGGGCATGTCTAAACATTACATCTACATGCAGGCATTACTCAGTATACATAAGACGTTGTATGCAAGTTCTTAACTGTAATATCTGATAACAGTTATTCTTTGGAAATGTACACCTTTACTCAGATATTTCCCCCCATGTGTCTTCATTTGTTTGTGGGGGCACGGGTGGCCCAGTCGTCTAAGGCGCCGCGATTCGCTGTGCAGAGTTGCGTCCCTTGGGCACGCCAGAAACCTATGATTGTGGGTTCGAATCGCGGTTCACCCCGATTATGTTTCTAGGTTTGTCAGCACCATACCCGTGCTCGTGGGTTTCACCGAAGTGGTAAACGTCTGAGACCTGCATCACTTCGGGCTTTCCTCCCACATTAAGCTGACACGCCGCGATATAACTGGAATACTGTTAAAAGTGGCGTTAAACCCAACTCACTCACTCATTTGTTTGTTCCTTCCTTCCTACTTTAACCCTTTAATCTTTTGTCCTTTCAGGTCTTGTCAATGTCTTTATTAACACCAGCAACCATAGTCAAGTCAAAGTCAAGATAGTAGTTTTTATGAAGGTCTTTTTCCCATTTATAGAAGATAATTACACAATAACCTTCATTCCATTCCCTCCTTCATAGGTCCCTCCCCTCCTTGACAGAACGGAGTGAAGGAATCAGTGGAGGACAGAAGGGAGTGAAGGAATCGATGGAAGGGAACAAAGAAAGGATGGGAGGAAGTGAAGGAAAAAATGAAGGATGGAGGGAAGGGGGGAGTGAAGCAATCATTGAAGGAAGGATTGAAGGGAACGAATCAATGAAGGATGGAAGGGAGTGAAGGAATCAATGAAGGAAGGATAGAAGGGAACAAAGGCATCAATGAAGGATGGAAGGGAACAAAGAAATGATGGGAGGGAGTGAAGGAATCAATGAAGGAAGGATGGGAGGGAGGGAGTGAAGGAATAAATGAAGGAATGAGGGAAGGGAACAAAGGAATCAATGAAGGATGGAAGGAAACAAAGGAAGGATGGGAGGGAGTGAAGGAATCAATGAAGGAAGGATGGAAGGGAACAAAGGAATCAATGAAGGATGGAAGAAACAAAGAAAGGATGGGAGGGGGTGAAGGAATCAATGAAGAAAGGAAGGGAACAAAGAAGGATGGGAGGGAGTGAAGGAATCAATGAAGGAAGGATGGGAGGGAACAAAGGAATCAATGAAGGATGGAAGGGAACAGAGAAAGGATGGGAGGGAGTGAAGGAATCAATGAAGGAAGGAGGGAAGGGAACAAAGGAAGGATGGGAGGGAGTGAAGGAATCAATGAAGGAAGGATGGAAGGGAACAAAGGAATCAATGAAGGATGGAAGGGAACAAAGGAATCAATGAAGGATTGAAGGGAACGAATCAATGAAGGATGGAAGGGAGTGAAGGAAGGGAGTGAAGGAATGAATGAAGGATGGAAGGGAACAAAGGAATCAATGAAGGATGGAAGGAAACAAAGGAAGGATGTGAGGGAGTGAAGGAATCAATGAAGGAAGGATGGAAGGGAACAAAGGAATCAATGAAGGATGGAAGGGAACAAAGGAATCAATGAAGGA